AATTTATTCTCCCCTCACTCCAGTGATTTAAACTACAATCAAAAGGAAGACATTTGGTCAGTGTTGCCGTTTTGGTAGTTTAGAATCTAAAATTTCATCCACCTGTTTCTTAAAAGATCCCAGAGTGTGGAACCCAACCACTTGGCTGGTTACAACTCTTTTTGTAAAGAAGCACTTCCTGTTCTCAGTTCATGCATCCATAGTTCAGTAACTTGGTCTGAAGCAGGTGATCTGGTCTCTGAGGAGGGGGGACCAGAATCAAGTTGCATTCGTTTGAAGGAATACAAAATGAGGTGGGTCTTAGAGTTGATGTGCGCTTCTTGGTCAAATGTCACACTTCTCTTATTATTGCTGTTCAATGTCATTGGCAGCACAGCGTCCCTTCCCCACAGTAGGTAAGGCGCCAGCATAGAGAAGAGGACTGGCCAGGCTACCCATAAACTGTCATCAGTTCTGATAGGTACTGTAATTTAGAGCAAGGGTAAGGAATTAAAGACTAAAAGAGGATTTTTTTTACAGAAGTGTGTCTCAAGTGTAAAGAAGTGGCTGGTTCATTCATATTTGTTGTCTGCTGAATTGCACTTGAAGCATATGGGGTGTCTTTTAGTTGGTTTCTAATCAACTTTGAAAGGACAAAACTGGCTGTCTGGAGTGGTTTAGGAGCTAAACCAGCTTCACTGTCACTGTTGTGTTGTGGACATTGGATAGATGGGCTAATTATGTCCAGGAAATTGTATGTCTGACAAGGAAAAAAACGTCAGGCAATTAGAAATGTAAATCAGTTCCCTGTGGGAGTGTCAATACTCCATTACACCTCAGTTATTTGAGTCGATGTCAATGCATGGGTCCAGAGGGATTTTAGTCATTATTGGAATCTTAAACCTGCCACCTGGAGAAAGGCTCGGAAGTCAGTGGTCGCAACAACTCGTGAGTGGTATCACCCAGCTCCTAGGGTGTTATCTGCTAATTGATGAAGTATAATTTTCTTACAGTGCAGTTATTTTTCAGCTATAACCTCTTGCGATTATTGAACAAACATTCATCCAAGCAAGTGGTAGATTGGTGAATGTATAAGTCAGTACCTACAGTACATCTGCATTTGGAATCTTGGATTAAGAGAGGATGTGTGCTGTTTTTCTATGGTTCTTCCTGTGATCATACCTTTTCAGCAGGTGTTAGTTTATTTACTAAAGTCAACGTGTCTGTTTTGGTTGATAACAGTTGGATTTTGGGCACTGCTGACCACAGGTGCACTAGTTCCCCGTGGTATCTGTGCCTAGTCCATGATGGGTCCCTGATCAGTGAGGTTGGATGTTATTGGTGGAGAGCAAGAGGGAGGCCAGCCAATGACCGGAGGCTTCTGAAGCTGTGCTGTGTGCGCTCAGCTCAGGAGGTGCCAGGGAGTGGAGGGGTGGCTTTTAGCTGCAGAACTGGGTCAGAATCGCTGAGCCAATGACTGGATTAGAGCAACCTGCACAAACAGTAGCTAATAGCTGCTATGTCACAATATCACACAAATGCCACAAAACTCAATCCAGCCCTGACCCAGTTAATTTTTGCCTCTCTGTCAGGGCCGTGGCGGGACACCTCAGCCCCAAGCACCCAAACATCCCGCCACACTGTCATCATTTCACTTTCCCTGGACTGTAGGAAACAAGCACAAGACACTGCAACTAATATCATTTTCACAGTATGCAAAGTAGAAGAGTTTTGTAGGCAGTACGTACAGCTGCGTCAGGCACAGTTCTACAGCTCTTGGATGAGGGACGACTGAAACAGACTGATGAATTGTGGGGTGCTCAGGCCTGGAGGAGAGTGCAGGAGTGGGGATGTCCTTGGAATGTTGCCTGAGGCAGGCCAAGAGCCACTTTCACAGTGGCTGCAGGCTGAGATGCACTTGATGTGCAAGAATTGACCCAGTCCCGCATTTTAAAATATATTTAATTAGTCCTACAGCACACTCATCTGTCTCTGTTGAAGTCTTGAGTAGCCGCCATGTAATTACCAATTAATTGAAACAATAAAATAGTGTTTGGAAATAAGGTTCACGTATAACCTTTCAAAACTTCAGAAAGGGCTTTGTCACAGTCATGAGAAGCTAAAGGAGTAAAATAATTCCTTCTTAAGATTGCTTGGTTCATCTACAAAGTACTGATTGGACAGGAGTCTGCAGCTCATTAATCCTGACATGAATCCTACTGCTCTGCTATAGAAGTCTTATTTCATTTCTGTAGTAATCCATATGCGTTTTGGGTTTTAATCGTTTAGCGATTCACCACTCCTGTGGGCAAGCAGGCTGTTACTGATGTAAAATATCACCGGAAAATCACTACTGAAGTATAATATTGTAGAATATTATGCCAACATAATCTTGAAAAATGACTTGGGGTGCTATGTAAACCTATCCTATTCTTAAAGTCTCAAGCTGAAAAGACAGATATGCAAACCACAAGGCCCCAGAGTCTCTTGTATTTGCCAGTTTTCTACCCCAGGGATGGCCTGTGTACTCTCTGGTGGACACTAGGGATTGTGGTGCCCTCTGGTGTACTGCTGTTCTCCGTGGCAACCAGTTCCCCATGGTCCCAGGTGGATGTGTACAGCATGTCATGACTGTGCAATTCGGCTTTCATGGTGCAGGTGTTTTAAAAGGCCGTGTGACTACAGTACATTGTGTACTTAAAGGAGCACCCAGCCAAGAGAGGTCAGTTTTCCAGTTCAGCTTTTCATTGACTACAGCCCAGTTGCTCACATTTATTAATGAGTTGCCATGAGATGGCTCTACTGCTGTATTTAAAATTCAACTTGAAACCTGCCTCACTGTAGCGTTTTAGCTCTAACACTTCATAGTGTAATTATGGTATAAAATAAGTTAAAGTGGTTGTGGAGACCGGCTCCAAGCTGGATCTGTGGTGACCTGAAAAAGAGGTTCTGAGCAAGTTTAAATATTGTTGAGGAACACTGTAGTCATGGTTCTCACTCATATAACTTCTGATCTATTCCAACAGAAATATTTCTCACACTGCTAGGTCCTATTAATCATCTAATGATGAACTGGAGTTTACTTGGAGAGTAGCAGACCTCCTGTCCTGGTCTGTAGTTCTCCTTGCTTTCCCTGCCAGCTGGTATTGTTTCCAGAGCGCTGAACAGTAGCCAGATTCATGCTTGCTTTGACGAGTGAATGAGTGATTGTAGAAACATACAGAGCAGTTCCCCTTTTCTCCAAGTGACTGACTTTTTAATTAACCTGTCTCACTGGGCTCTCTTTGTCTGTGGAATGGTGGTACGTCTGCACAAACATGTTCAGAGAAACTGAGAACTTCTCTGAACTGGAAGACAAGAGTTGAACCTGTGTCCACCCGCGGACACGACCTTGATGTAAACAGGTCTTTTCCCAGCTACAGAGTTTTTCTATGATTTCAGTAAAGCAGGATTAGAGCGAAATTATTTCCACCTTCAGTTTAAGTCTTGGAAAATGTTAGATGTTCTGGACAATTTAAAGAATCTGAAGTTTAAAACAAAGGAGGAGTTGGATATTTGGATAAAAAAAACATGGTCTGGAATAGGTGCACGCCTTTACTAAATGATTATGTCCTTGTTACTGGGAAAACTTTGTGAAGTTCTTTGTGGGACAGAATATTGGTGTATTTATAATGTGCACGGTGGGCTAGTGTCCAATACGTGCAGGCACTTTGTGCCAGTGTCCAGTAAGTTGCTAGGCTGGTGGAAATTGCTACATGTTGCTGCCTGTGGCTTGGAGATGATTTTGTCTCTTGATGCGTAAACCTGCCTAGCCTCTTTCAGGACACAGAGTCCCGGCTGCTTCAGAGCTGCAGTACAGTTCAGTTCAGGACGGTCTGCTTCCTCCTGCTTTCAGTTCAACAGAGCTGGACTGTACCAGGTGTAAAAAGCCCTTTGTTGGATTACAAGGGTGGAAAAAAAGGTGGTATTTACTGGTATTTCTAGTTGAATGTGTCAACAGAGCTTTTCAGAAGTACAGAAATGCCATGCAGAAACCTAAAAGTGTGATGCAATAAGATGATCAGTACCCCACCATTTGCCTTGGGAGAAAAGGCAGTAATATTTCTGAGTTTGAGCATATCTGAAATCTCCTTAAAGTGGTGTTTTGTTGATTGTATTTAATTGCTGCAGTCAAACTTTGTTTGCCCTGAATTAAGAACTATTCAAATCACGATGGTAAATGGCAAGAATGTATTTATTTTATTTTTATTTCCACTTGACATCTTTTTAAAATACTAATTAAGCTCTTAATTGTCATATCCAAGCAGTTGAATACTGTTGAAATTTCAGAGGTTTGGGGATGTGGCTTATTGACTCCCACAGGGCTAGTGGTAGAAGTAACAGAATGTTGTTGGTAGCCCTGATCAAAGACAATAGTTCTCTCACAGTCTAGGAGCCATGAGTGTTTCTGTGAGGTTTTTTTTTTCCTTTTTGAAAATGTGGCAGATACGCATGTAGCAACTCTGTGAAATAGGCAATTCCCAAGTCCTTTGCTGAAATTGAAGCTCTGGGCTCGTTTAGTTAGATATAGCCTCCTGCTGGAGTGGATGCTGTGTGACACGGTTGTATTTGCAGCACAGGCAGCAGGCCTTTCCCTCTAGGAGGTCTGGGATTTTGCATTCAGGGCAAGAGCACAGTGCCCCGAGATCCAGGAACTCTTCCCTCAGATCCAGTGTGCATTGCAAAAACTGCCAAAAGGTTTGAGCTCCTGGTGCTTGCTTTGCTACAGTATTTACAGCCTGAGCTGACCCTAGCGCCCTCAGACACATGCTGATGAATAAGCTGAAGAGAGGTACATCCCCACCCACTTCCTCCAGTCATTCATGAGACCCAAGTATCTGCACTACAACCAAAGAGCTTCATTTTCCAGCTGCACAGTGAAAATACTTTCTCTGCACCGCCATTCGTCATGATGGAGAATCTGGAGTTCTTTTTCGGGGTATCTGTTATTTTTTCACATGCCCTTTCTCTTTTTTCCCCAGATCATCAGAAACTGGAACGAGAGGCACGAATCTGCCGCCTGCTCAAGCACCCCAACATCGGTGAGTGGGTCCGTCCGCCTGTCCGCCCACCCTGCCTGCCGCTAGCTCAGCCCTGCTCTGAGAGGGGCCCACAGCCAGCTCTCAGCTCTGCCCAGCTGTCGTCCAGGGTTTGCAAATTGCCGTCACTTCCGAGAAAGACCAGCTTGGCTCTGAGGCTCGAGAACTAGCTTCACAAGCAGAGGTCATGCTCAGAGAGTATTTAGAATATGTCTGGTCTTGAGGTTACTGGCTAAAGTAATCACCACCGATAAGTGCAGATTTTTCACACAGTATGTTCAGATTGCCATCTAATGCGGAGAGTGACTAGGAAGTGTTTGGGTTTGTTGTGGGTAGAGTTCTTGCTTTCACTCAAAAGGACTTCAGCTTGGAAAGTGTAGTTTTGAGCACAAGGCCATGAATTAATTCCTCACGCAGGAGGTGGCGAAAGCTGTGGATATCCATGTAGGGATGGAGAATGCTTACAGGCATTTGTGTGTGACTTAGTCCAGTGTCTGTGGCTGGGGGGAAGAGATATAAAGATGGACAAAGAGGCCTTAGCCCAAGATTTCTGGCAGTGGGTGAGTGTAAATGGAGCAAGCCGGCGTACTGATTTAAGACAACTAAAGGTAAGTCTGTGTTAGGGGTAAGGCCACCTGCAATGCATTTTCCATTTTCTGCAGTATAAGCAGGTCTGCATGCAGTGAGGTCAATGAATGCTAAAGAAAGATAAACATTGACTTGACTTATTTGACATTTGCAATGAGTAGGAGTGACATGGACATTATTAAAAGTGTTCTCTTTTTAAACCTGCTCATAATTGTTGTTTTCCTTTCACTTTGTAAGACAGAGCTGTATTCTGTTTTTCATGAATACACATTTAATTTAGGGGCTTGAAAGTGTCCCTAAATTAAAACAAGAAAAATGGGATCAGTTTCTGTTTCAGAGGACCTTAGAGAAAAGAGGCACAGTTGCTACTGCTACTGATTCCACTTGCATCTTGTTCAGTTTTGCTTGGCATTCAACATCAGAACAGTGGGTTTTCAAAGTTAAAAAGCTCTAATTGTTTCAACCTCAATCACTGAGTAAATGTCAGTTTAGCCAACAAATCTGCTGCTCACCCTCGTCCTTGGTTCCAGGCACTGTCTGTCCATCAGTGGGAATTCCTCCTGGAACCACTCCTGCATTCCCATGCGGATCCAGGAATGTGGCTGCTGTGTTGGCAGTTCCTGGAATAAGATTGATATCGAAAGACAGAGTGAAATGGTTTTCTCATCTCCTTTGAATGAAGCATCTGAAAGTTACTCACAGTGGATATTAAACTGAGGGTGACATCCATCCATTCCTTCTTGCAGTTCATGGCTGTGGGGGAGCTGGAGCTGATCAGCAAGCAATGGGCACAGAGTGGGATACACTCTGGGCAGGATGCCAGTCCATCGCAGGGGACACACACACACATTCAGACAAGAGCCAGTTTTCCCAGACTAAAAAAATTAGTAGGGAGCCACTGGCCAAATGACTTTTTTTAGTTGCCAAACTACAGAATCAAAATAGTTCATATTAACATAAAAAAGACTTACTGTGTCCTCTGTTCTGTGCCTGTAGGTCTGTCCTGGTCACTAACCATCAAAATATCAGTGTCACTTGGCCATCCTGTATACTGAGGCCTCCTCTTCCTCTTGTTTGAGCTGAGCCAGCACCTCACACAGGGCTCAGGTTCACACTGCTCAAGTGAAGGGCCTTCTGAGCTGATCCTGATTAAATTCTGCAACATTGAGATATTAAGTGAATTTCATACTTTTGATTTAATTCTGTTTTGTGCAGCTGATATGGGTAGCACATGATCTGAACTACATGCCAAACATTCCTGAAATCTGTACAGTAAGGCTCTTTTGTCAAGATGGCCTCCCACAAACTACTGTAGGACATGTCTGCAAACTGGCCTTTAATGATCCTTTGCAGTCCCAGTTAGTGTTTGCGCTTTAAGTTAATCTGCATTTTTTTTAAATGTAAGATATCACCAGTTGAAAAAGCACAAACACCTTATAGATGTGCAGAGAATTAACAGTTCACTGGTGTAGTCAAGAACATGTGCTGTGCCCGTGTATTTGAGTGTTAGTTGACCAAGATCAGTAGCAAGCAGGGTACTACGATAACCAGGCCTAGAAAAGACAATAGCATCCATTGACTTTTCAGCCTGCTGTACTTTACCTTGTCATGTGCCAGAACTCTAGTTATAAGAGGGAAGAAATTTAAACCCATTAATCAGTATGCCATTGTTCCTATGGGTCTTAAAAAATAGTGCAACACTGATGCTGTGAACAGTGTTCTCAGTCCTGGTCCAGGAGTACACTAATGTCTTTCTTTTAACTGGGCTCTTAATCACCAGCGTAGTTATCACTTACTGATCTGCTTGCTTGTTTAGCATTTTTTGCACTCAGGCCTTGGTTTAAAAAATCCCCCAATACAGTGGTTCTAAAGCCAGGATCTGGGTCACTCATGTCTTTTGCTCTAGTGAGTCCTTAATCACTTATTCGTCAGGAGCTTTATCACCCTGCAGCTCACTACTGGCAGCCCAGTGAAGCTCAGCAGGTGTGAGCCTGGCCAGTACCTGGATGGAAGAACTCCTGGGAAAAACTAAAGGTTGCTGCTGGAAGAGGTTGTTAGTGGGGTTTTGTTCCTGCAGTCTTTGTGGGTCCTAATGCCCCAGTATAGTGATGGGGACACTATACTGTTAAAAGGCACTGACCTTCTGATGAGTCGTAAAACCAAGGTCCTGACTCTCTGTGTTCATTAAAAATCCCAGGGTGTTTCTTGAAAAGAGTAGGGGTGTTACTCTGGCACTGGGCTTTAATAATCCCCATCTATGAATTGGCTTCATCACTCTGTTCTCCTCCACAATGATAGCTGATGTGTGGTGAGTGTTCTGGCGCACTATGGCTGCCGTCGCATCATCCAGGTGGATGCTGCACACAGTGTTGCACACTGTAAAGCACTTTGAGTGGAGTGTCCAGAAAAGCACTATCTAAGTGTAAGCAATTATTATTATATTATCTGTCTGTGTAAAGTCCAGCAGAATATTGTGGATTTTACTTCTACAGCCCGAGACAGTAGGGACGGGTGGTTTTCCGCAGTTTTCTGCAGGCTGGGGGCAGCAGGGATGGGTGGTTTTCTGCAGGCCGGGATGGCAGCAGGAACGGGTGGTTTTTATCTCATTTTAGAGAGTGAGAGCTTGTCTAAAAATAGGCGCTGAGAGCACGAGCTGCGGGGGTGATGGAGGTAGGCTGGTGGCAGGGGCCGAAGTGTGGGTGGCATCAGAAAACATGGAATTAAAAGCCTGCCTGCCGCAGTGCTGAAGAGACAGCTGACAGGACTAAGATCCTCTTCTCCATGGAGGGGGTACGTTCTCCCCTCCACAGGTAGGCCGTGCTGCAGAAATCTCTTTCTGATGATGGAGCTGGTAGGGAATGGCAGAGGTCTGCTGTCTTGGCACTGTGTGATAAACCTGTTCTATTCTCTTCTAACCCTCAATTCTGTCTTTGTGTCAGTCCAGGTGCCCAACTGCGCTGTATCTTGTATCTGTGTCTCTCCTTGGCTCCAGACGTTTCTCTCTTGCTCATTTTCCACGTCCCGGTTTGTTCTCTGCCCCCTGGAAGCACACTCTCTCACCTCGCCTCTCCAAGCACTTGCTTGTCGCGTTTTCCGCTTCGACTGCAGATAAACTCTGAACAAAGGCAGCGGTCGGGATAGCTGAGCATGCATGGCTGCGGGTTTCTTGGCGTGCCTGGTGCTGATGACCCCCCCGCCTGCCTTCCCATCTCCCTGATGGGCACCCTTCTCTCCATGTAGCTCCTCTGAATTTTTCTTTTAATTACAGCTGGGTTCTGTTAACTGTGACATAACAAAACGGAACAACCAGTTTTAGGCAGAGCTATATCTGTTTGCTTGGCCCAGTGTGTGATTGCGGGGAACAGGGCTTGACAGTCAGGCTGAAGATCAAGCTGCAGCTGCAGGAGGGCTTTGGGTACTGCAGGATTCTCCCTGGGTGGGACACCCCTTTATACAGCTGAAGGATTGGAGCACTTGGGGTCTCTACCCCTCAGGTCGTGGCTTCAGAACCCTAATTATTCTGTTCTGCCCCCTAGTGCATTTGTTCAGAAACTGTGGTGGTAAACAAAGTAGATAACAGTTTTCTCTGTATGTACGTGAGCAACACTCATCATGTTGGAACATGAACTGAGTGGGCTTTCATTTACTGTTGATTGATCTTCCTACCTCCTTGACCAAAGCTCAGAGGACCTGCTATCCTACAGAAGGCTGGAAGGCTGTCCTTGCTTTTTTAAGCCACGTGTGCTGACTTCAGAAGCTGGCTTTGGGATATGCACCCCTCTGGACAATACTTAGGGATGTGTGGCCAGACCACACTGTGTGGGGGAGAGGTGAACAGTGCAAGACCACAGGCCCTCCCTCTGCAGGCCTGGAGCTGTACTGAGGCCCTGTGGACAAGGTGTCCCTTTTCGTCCCAATTCTGCCACATCCAGTTCAGGTGTGACTTACTGATTCATCTCAATTCTGTTCCACAGACAGGGGTGCAGTGTGTTGGCTGCTGGATTTGGGTTCATTCAGCTGGTTTTGGCCTGGTGCTCTTGTTTCTGCCTATACAGATGCAGCCATTCAAAGTGCGCGGTACAGACACGTACCAGAGGTAATTGGCTACGGCATCGCGCATTGTGACGCATGATGACGCACGGTACCGCGGTACGTGATTGATTGACCGACAGGGGCACTCGTGGTCCGTTGGTCTGTCGTAGAAAGATTTACAGTAAATGTCTTTACTGTGCCCGTTTTAGTATTGAATATTTATATGGAATTTTACCACTGAAGGGAAATCTTAGTAGCTGAGCATAAAAAGAATAGGAGCATACTGTAATGCGTGTGAAGGCCATAAACAATATTAATTTTGGAACATAAACATACAGTATATGGCTGGTCTTGGTACTTTAAAGAAAAAATACACACCAGTATTCCATTTCTCCCTAAACATTTTAAGCATCAAAGTCTTTAACAAACGAGATACCGGAGTCAACAAGCATACTTTTAGAATTCGATCATGTTGTGATATTTTGAAATATAAAAGTCAATTGATTGTCTGTAATATTGCTATTGTATTTTTTCGAAGAAATGTTTGTTAAAAGAAAAGTCACAGCGCCAGCTGGATTTGAACACACAACCCGTGACTTGGTAATCAGGCACGTAGACCAGTGGGCTACAAGGGAAGTTGCATGAAGAGAGAGGCGAAACAGCCCTACACAGCCCTGTTATAGTACACGAATATAATCATATTGTTATTAATTTCTTTAGATGCGCAATTCCATATTATATTAGCAGAAAAGCTTAAAACTACCACTTTTTCACATGTTAGTTAAATACTTCAATGCTTAAAATGTTTAGGGAGAAATGGAATACCGGTGTGTATTTTTTCTTTAAAGTACCGATTCCTGGAATCTGACTGGCTGACACCCTTCTGATGTGGTTCCATAATATCTGGTATACGGAAAAGAAAGCGTTGATAAAAAAGTCTGGATTCTCATGTATCTGATACAAGTATCTTTTAATACAGTCTTTGCTGTGCTCTTGAGGATCCTTGTGATATTGTGAGCTCTAGTCGAATGATAAGTGTCACATTTTAAATAATTTTCGTAGTTAGAAATTATGAAACGCCCTGTTAAAAGCAAGGGAGTTTTTATGTCTGTTGAAGTAAAAGAAAATGCCTGACAAAGTAGGGCTTGGACAGATTCCAAGTGCTTGTACAAATGTGCTAAAGAAATTATACTTTGAGTCTACAGCTTGTCCAAAGTCATTCATTATTAATACTATTAGTAATATCTTCGGTAAAGGCTTTGATGCATAAATATTTCTGATAAAGGTAGGTTGTGTACTTTTGTCCAACTGAGCAATCTTGCTTTCATAAAATATACCAACATTTTAATGACTGATGATTAACATGCTGTAATACACAGTTTAAATTTAAAAGCTCAAATGCTGTACATGAGAGGTTAAGCTTTATTGGCTCCTCCTGGCGGTTTTACAAGCTGATGCCGGATACTTTCCGGCATGACGTCAAATGACGCGATTAACCCTGTGATACTGCATGATACTGCGACACGCCCACCGGGGTTACTGCGAAATACCCCACCCATTTTGAATGGCTGCATCTGTACCTATGTGGCGTCAGTGTGTCAGTGTTGTGCGATAAGAGCCACTGCTGCTGCTGTAGGATGGCAGTTGTTTCATGGTTTGACTTTTAATTAAGGGACTGTCATTTGATCTGCACAGATAAGCTGTTCTCCTTCCAGAGAAATTATTTGAAGAAACACTGGCTTTAGCTAAATTCGACCATGCTGCAGGCTGTCCATCAAGGAACATTGTCCGGTCGTAACATTCAGGTGAAATAGGGCCTGAAGCTACCTGGATCACCACAAGTGCAAGAGGAACCCCAGAGAAAAATTTAGCTTTACAAGCTCATAATTATTCCAGGAGATTGTCGTGGATTTTCATTTTATTCAAACCACTCTTGGCAGATAAGCTTGATTAATGGGGAATGGCAATAAAGTACTTGACTGGGAATTATCAGTGTTTATTGTTCTGTGGTTATACAGGGTATGCAAAATCAAATGTACGTCATTCAGCACGTGGTGTATTCACAACAATGCACTGACTTGCCCTGGCTGGGATAGCACACTGATAGAGCTGTTCTCTCTTGCAGTGCGACTTCATGACAGTATATCCGAGGAAGGCTTTCATTACCTCGTCTTTGACCTGTGAGTATCCCTTGAGTCTCTGCCTCTCAAACACGAGGCCACACTGCAGCTCACAAGCTAAAACACTGAGCTGAATCCTTGGCACCCCGTTCCTCAGCTCTGATCGCTAGGCCGCAAAGCCTCCATTTCCTTCCCTTGTATACTCATTAGGCTATTTGACCCTCTCGCACGTTCTCACTGCCTTCATTCAGAATCCCCCACTAGATCACTCCAGTAGATGCCTTCCTTCCAAATGCCTCACCTCCATAACTGTGACCTTTCATATCGCTTTAAAACCACGTGTTTGTCTACACCAGTGGTGGCCAAGACAGGCACCTGAAGTCCAGGCCATTAGAGTCTAATTCTTAATTAGCTGAGTGATCTAGAGCACCTGGGTAAATTAACCAACTTAACTTGATTGGGTGTCCTAGAATGACGTGGTATTCAGGTGCCGAGGCCAACCCCACTCTGTCTAAACAGATACACTCATGAATTCCCTCATGAAGAACCGAGTGAAGAAACGTTGAGGGTGTTGAAAGGTCTGTCCCAGAGCAGAGAGGTTTATTACAGCGTGGCTGAACTTCATTCTGTTCAAGCTGCTGTGAAAAGGCCACTGTCAGAGCCAGTATGACATATTGAAGAAGGGCAGGGGCACTGCAAGGGAGGGTCCAGTAGTAGCATCTTACTGCTGCAGTAGGCGTGGCCCCTTTTACATGTTAGATGGACAAAAATTGCAATTATAAAATGACAGACGATTTTTTTCCTGAACTATTCCCCTGATGTTGCTTTCTTTATAGCTGTATCATTTAAGATCTGTGTTCCACCAGCTGAATGTGAATAGCACCATTGTAATGCACTACGACATCTTCTAAAACATATCAGGATATCTTGTTCGTTTTTACAATTATCTAGGGATTAGAACGAATATAAGGCTCCCTGACTCGATTCCACTGAATAACCCATGTGAGCCTGCGGTAGATTCAGAATTGAAACCATAGCCTGTAGAAAACTGTCTGTTTAAGCTCTGGCTGTGAATGTGGCTAACCCATATCAATGATCTTGATCCAGTGCACCTTTTGAGAGGTAAGTAAATTATGGTGATGTCTGTGCTCCTAAAAAATGAACAGAAAATGAACAAAGAACTGAGCCTCCTTATAAACCAGGTGAGCGGGGAAGTGTGGCCTTCACCTGACAATCAGGTGAAGCTGTGTTAAGCTACATTACGCATCCTAAACCAAGTGCTGAGCTTCCACTGAAATAACTAGCCTCTGCACAGTATAGCCCTTCCAGGCAGCACGTCTATGCTGCAGCTCAGGCCTCACTTATAATCTGTTACACTTAAAGAACAAATTCATCCAAACATTCGTCTGCAGGGAAGAAAAGGTGTCTGTTCCTGGCTTGTGATTTGGTGGAAGCAATTTCTGTTGCCATGAGAACAGCCTGTTGACCGGCAACAGGATTCAAAGTTTTTTTTTTTGCTTTTGTCTCTGAAAGAATGGTACTGGTATTGTACCAGCTTGTAGTTTGTGGGAGGGATTGTTCCTTATTAAGATGTCTCTGAGAAGGTTCTGCACCAGCCTTTCTGTGCATGAGCCAGTCGATAAGATGACAAACTTGACATATTCTGCTCCTGATGTTGCCTTCCAAACAAGAGTCTGCTGCAGATAAGACCCAAAATGGATGAAACTGCTATGAAACTGGAATCCTCCTTCTTTTCCTGTGATATTGTGGGGCCACGGCCACACTTCCCTTGGCTCCTTCAGGCTGTCTCTCACCTGTTGCCTCTGCTGTGTGCTCAATGTATGGTAACAGTGTGTGTGTCTCCACAGTGTGACGGGAGGCGAGCTGTTTGAAGACATCGTTGCCAGAGAGTATTACAGTGAAGCTGATGCAAGGTGGGCACTGGAATTTACTGTTGCTATGGTTACCTCACTACTGACTGCAGACTGCAGGTCAGAGCTGTGGGAGATTCGGGCCTGCTTATCCCTCTCTTATACACACACACACAAACATAAAACAGCATGAAAAAACAGTATTCACAAACCAGGACAATATTCCAGTCAGTTATCTACAGGTTTAACTTGTTTGCTAAAAGCAACAATATAAAACTCTGGTGACGTTAAAGTCGTTTAAGGCATCCAAACGGTGATGTTTTTGTAGAGTTGAAGCGGAAAGATAGACACTCGCAAAAGGCACAGATGAGTCTCTTCAGATGGCTTTCCTCAGACGTCAAAGTGAACTGCCATTTTAATTTTGGTACAGAAAGGCCACTGGGTGTTTGAAGTTGTGGTTTTATTACAAAACATTTTTGTTCATTTAGCCATGTGCTTTTCCATTTTTTGCACATTATTTTGTGATGAAAATTGCCAATGGAGATCTTCGGTATGCCCTTTGCTCCCACCTCTTAAACTGCTGTATCTCCTTGTTGGTTCAGATTTGCCACTTGGAAAATCACTGTCCTGGCTTGACAGTGCTGTTCGAGATGAGATGTTAAGCCCAGGACCTGATACTGGTCAATTAAGGTGCAATAACACTGTTCATAAAAGTTGATCCTGGTTAAATTCCGCTCTGGGCTTGTACTGTCTGGCTTACATAAAGAACATTGGTTTTAATTCTTAGGATTATGCTAAAATTCATTAAATCAGTTTGAATTAAATATACAGTGGTGTGAAAACGTGTTTGCCCCCTTCCTGAT